GGATTTTGTATTTTTCTCCTCTAGTGATATGTCCCAAGTATGCAATCTTTCTGCATTTAATTGTTGACAGCAATTTTCTGTTTGTTCTTGCTCTGCTTAGAATTTCGTTGTTGGTCACTCGATCCATCCATGAGACTCTCAGCATCCTTCTGTGAATCCACATCTCAAATGACTCCAGTCTTCTTTCTGTATTACTTTTTAATGTCCAGCTTTCCACACCATAGAGGAGAACTGACCAAATATAACATTCAGCCATGCGTTGCCACAATTTCAAATTTAAATTGTCGTTGCAGAGCAGGGTTTTCATTTTTTGGAAGAATGTTCTAGCTGCTACTATAATGCATTTAATTTCTTTCCCTGAATCTATATTTTCTGTAATTATGCTTCCCAAGTATTTAAACTGTTTGACCTGTTCAATTTTTTTTTGTCAAGAACAAGTTGTGCCTCTCTGTGTGGGGGTCTGACTAAAAATCATAAATTTAGTTTTGTTTGCATTTATTTTGAGACCGGCATCAATTCCTGCTGAGTTAATTTTGTTTAGTAGTGCCTGTAAGCCTTCTAGGCTGTCGCATATGATTAGTGTATCATCAGCATATCTAATGACGTTAAGAATTACGCCATTGATTTTAATCCCATAATTTGAGTTTTCTAAGGCATTTTTGAAGATTTTGTCTGAGTACAGATTAAACAATAAGGGCGAAAGAATGCAGCCCTGCCGGACTCCTCTCTGTATTTCAATTTATGCTGTTTTCATTGTTCCTAACTTGACTTCTGCTGTTTGACCCCAGTATAAATTTTGAATTATTCTGACGTCCTTGCCATCTAATTGAACTTGGTGTAGGATCTCTATTAATTTGGAGTGTTTCACACTATCGAAAGCCTTTTCATAGTCGATGAAACAAGCAAATATGTCTTTTTGTTGTTCACAACATCTCTGGAGAAGGACGTTGATACTAAACAACGCTTCTCTTGTTCCAAAAGCATTTCTGAATCCAAATTGAGTTTCCTCGAGATCAATTTCACATTTTTTATATATCCTGGCGTGTATAATATGTAGAAATATCTTCAGAACGTGGCACATGAGACTAATGAGTCTGTAGTCGCTACAACTTTTAGGATGACTTGTTTTAGGGATTGTTACAAAGGTTGACTTTAACCAGTCTTTTGGTACTGTGCCAGTATTGTAGATCTGATTGAATAATCTAGTAATTAGTTTAATATTATCATCTTCGATCAATTTCACAATTTCAGTCGGGATTTCGTCAGGACCGGGAGTTTTCTTATTCTTTGCAATATGAATGGCATGCTTTACTTCTTCGTCGAGTATTTCAGGACCTTCTACTGGGTCTTTATTTATGGGTGTTGGTCTTTCCTCATCAAAAAGTTTTTCAACATAATGTTTCCACGTGTTTTTCAGTTCATTTTCATCAATAATAGGACTGTTATTAGCATCCATTAGTATATTAGAGCGATGACACTTGAATGAACCCGTCATTTCTTTGATTTTCTTATGCATCTGGAACATATGTTCTTTTTCGAGGTTTTCAATTTCGTTGCAGTTTCTCTTTATCCATTCCTCCTTGGCCTTTTTTATCTCTACCTTTATAATGTCATTGATACGTTTGTAAGTTTCTGCGTCATTTTTTGTTAGTCTTCGTTTTTCCATTAAGTCCAGTATCTCTTCCATCTTTTCTTCTTGACTTTACAGGTTGATTTTAGGTTTTTGTGACAGACTTTGATCAAGATGTCCCTCAGATCTTCCCATAGTGTTTGTACGTCAGAATGATTATTATCTTTCAAGTTGCCCAGCTCCTTATTCAATTCTTCTTCTACTTCTTTTCTAAATTGTGGTATTTCTATTCTCGTAATATCATAGTGTTGGCTTCTGCACTTTGGTTTAATTGCCTTTAATTTTAGTTTGATGTTTGCCACCAGTGGAACATGGTCAGAACCAATATCTGCGCCAGGGAATGTTGCCACCCATGTTACGCAGTTTCTGTGACGTTTATTAATGAGTATGTAGTCTATCTGGTTTCTAATTGGTGTTTGATTTTTATCAGCAGGTGATTTCCAGGTGTAGAGTCTTCTTTTTGGTAATTTGAACCAAGTGTTCGTAATTACCATATCATTTTCCTGACAGAATTCAAAAAGTCTGTCACCTCTCTCATTGCTTAGACCCAACCCAAAGTCTCCTATCAGATCTTCCCGTCTTCCCATGCCAATTTTAGCGTTGTAATCACCAATAATCATGATGATATCATCCTTTTTTAGTTTGCCAAGTATCTTATCGATAGAGTTGTATAAGTCTTCTAGCTCGTCTTCATTATTATTGGTAAATGTTGGGGCATATACTGTACTTGTATTATATTAATCCTGAAAGGTTGACTATGTATTTGAAGTATCATCAGCCTATCCGATATTGGTGAATGGCCGATAACACATTGCGTATGTTTTGCAGAAACAAATATCCCTACCCCATTTCGGTAGTATTGGTCTTGGTCATTGTTTCCTGAATAGTGAAGCGTTCCGTGCTCATTTTGGCATACTCCAGAACCAGGCCAGCATAATTCACTAATGCCTAGAATATCTATTTTTAATCTTTGGGTTTCTTTAATTACATTGTCAAACTTACCAGCCATAAAAAGGCTTCTCACATTCCATGTGGCGATACGGATTTTTGATTTCACTATGTTGAGCCGGGAGATTCTTCACACTCCTTGCCCATCTAAGGGCTGCCCAGGACTAGGAGCCATTGATGTAGGTTTCCTCTCCATAGTGATATCCTGGGAATAGATTAAGGGGTGGTATTCCGTTGCCTTCCCCTGTAATAATCAGCCGCTCCTTATGTGGAGACACTTATCACTAAAAATGTTTAATTTGTTGACTTCTCTTCCAACTAAATATTGAGCAACCGTTGCGAATATTTTTTCACTTTGAATCGTTCCATGAATAGAACATCGCCAGCCTTACACACAGTCAGAAAACACTTATTTGACATACTATTGTTTATTTCTTGTAGAAAAAAATCACAAAAATAATTGAAAATGATTAAACTACCTTCTAACCAATTGGATAAACTAACTTCTTGCCACAAAGTGACTCAAGCACCAGCTATCAGCTACCTAACACATTAACTGTACTTTAGAAAATAGTTGAGAATGAAATGCAGTTTGCATGGTAATTATTAGCAGAGTATCAATATCAATTCTGCTAATAAATACCATGCAAACTGCATTTTATTTCATTTCATTATGGAAGGATTTTCCATGTTTAAAGTTTTTATGGATTTTTTGTCCATTCTGTACATAACAGAGATAAAGATGGCAATCAGTCAGAAAAAAAGACACACATTTTTGAACTCGAGATCTTGAAACATTAAGAAATGCAAAGCTAAGGGTTCTCTCTCTCTCTCTGTATGTGCATGTGTTGAGTGGTTGGCATAATTTTGTTTACACACTCCTGTCTTTTGTTGAAAATTTTGAAATTTTGCAGGGAGATTTGTGTATTAGAAAAATTGATGTTATTAAATTTTGGTGGTAAAAAGCCAAGTGGTGGGCCATATATTGTATCTCAAATGGGGTCAGACTTAATGAAGATTTTACTTGTTATTAGCACTTACAATTTTTTTTATATAAAACTCAGCTCTACCCTCAAAATTAAGCTTCTTACCATTTTGTAATAATTAATATAAAAAGCTTTTAATTAAAATGTCATAATAGATGGTTTCACACAATTTTAGCTCTTGCTGTAAAAGTTATTCAATTCATTACTGGATTTTTTAAGATGTTGCTTTCTCAGTCATTTCTTAGTACCCAAATCAACTCTTCTATATTTTAAATACTTTAGAAGAATTTCAAAATATTATAAGTAAAATTAAATTTTTGTGGGAGAGCTATCTGCAAAAGGTTTTTTCAAAACTCTTTCCACTCTGTGGCACACTAAAAGGACCCTTTTAGCAAGCCCATTATGGGTTTGGCCAGATCCAACATATCTGAGATGGACCACCAGAAAAAAATTCTGGGGATTTTCAACCCATTTGGATTTGATCCCGGATCCCCAGAGCAGTGGGCTGCTACTCTAACCCCACAGCAATCTGATGATCTCTACTAAAAGTTTGGAAATGTTTAATTATAAGAGCAAAAGTGAAATACCTCAGTCCAAGGTATATGAACTTTTGACAGTTTTATAAAACCTGAAAATAATAGTAAATGCTAAAAAATTGCTAATTAGCTAACAAAGACAAGTTTGCACTTCTGAAATTGGAACTGACGGTTTATTATTATATGTTTTGAAATATCTCATATATCTCAAAAATTTTTAAGTTTACAAATTTTAAGCTTTAAAATATAATAAAATAAAAAATTATTATATTTTTATAATCAAATGAATAACTCATTATTTGAAATCAAATAACTTTTCATTTATTATTTTATTTTATAAATACAATAAAACTTCAAAAGAATTAAACATATGAATGTACTGAAAATCATTCAAATATTCCAACATTATTATATAAATTTACAACTTTATTTTTTTACAAAGTTAAACAATATATTTTTATAAACATTTAATTTTCAAGACACTTTGATGCATACTCTGACAGATATAAAAACTTACACTTAAACTCTTATTTCCAATTTTTTTCCCCTCACAAAATTAAATGTTTTGGCTATAACAATTTTATAGCTACAGCAATTATTTTAATTTCAAGTAACTTTTTAGTTTTTTTTGCTTTAACAAAAAAGTGCTAACTTTTAAAAATTAAAAGCAGATGAATTTCAATAAGCTATTGTGATTAATAAAGAATATCAAAGAAAAATAAATTATATAAAAATTTTAAACAATTCTGCAGAAACTTTTGCTGAAATTAAAATAAATTGTTATATAAATAATATTTTAGTTTAAACTAAAAATTATATAAAATTTAATTCTTTTAAGAATTACAAGTACTGATTGTTAATACACAAATAATAATGTTTTTTGCATAACTTTTCTCCCTGAGTTTTATATTAAAAATTCTGCAATAAATTTCTTTTAATGAATATTTATATTAAATTTACTTGGGTGAAAAAGTTATTAATTTTTATAATAGTTATTAAATATGGCTTGCATTTAATTAAACCATTCAATTGTCTCTTGACAAGATGATACTTCTTGCTTGAAGCTAACATCCTTGCTTTTCAGTACAGCAAATTCAAAATTTTTTAAAAGAACATCACACATTATCTTGCTTCCATTTTCATTCAAGTAATACTGTTGATCTTCAAACAAATCAGATTTTAATAAGTTACCATCCATAAATGCTTTGCGCAAGTTAATAAATCCAAGATTTGATTTCTTGCACAGTTCACGTATGAACATATTGAGGCATTGAATTTTGTGATTAACCACCGTATCAAAATGTGGGAAAGGTAAAATTGCACTAAGAATGAGGATTTTTACCTGTGTCCGAATTTCATTTAATGAATCTTTAACCAGGGAACAGATTTCACTCAGAGAACTGCTACCTCTTGATAAAAAGTCATTTATTCCAAGATGTATAAATATTATTTCTTCTCCTGTTAAATTTGATATTTCTAATTTTATATATTCCAACACATTCTGTAACTTCCAATTATTGTTTGCATATATGTCAATTTTCCAGTTTTCATTTTTGATGCATAAATTTTTAAAAATATAGTCTCCAATTAGTATAATATGTGGCACTTGATTATTTGTTTCATGCTGTAAATAAAATACAGTTTTTTAAAATAATAATTAACATAAATAAAAGTTAATTAATTGAATGAAAATATAAATTTAAAAATTTCAATTACTATAATTTTGTGCAGATAACCCATGCATCATCTATGTTTAAACACCAACTTGAAAGTGGATACATGTTATATAATGAGACAGATTATTTGCCGATTTTACCTTTAATTATAAACTCGTCAAACAGCTTTTCCTTTATCTACATTTATAAACAATACCTTTCAAACTGGATGAACAAAAATACACCTCTAAAATACTTTGATCCAGTCCAACTGCAGTTAATTCACTAGAAAAACCAACATTTTTGATCTACGCCCAAGATCTTCATCAGGCACTATCCCATTTGAACAAGGTGAGTCCAAAGAACAAGGAATAATTCAAATTTGAATGTATCAATGTGATGCTGATAGATAGATGACCAATTAATCATTAATTTAAATCATAATGTGCTTGCCAGGTGTGATATATGCATTTTTCTTCTTTAAAATTAATGCAATGACCATTCTTGTATGTCTTAAAGATCTCAAGGGCTTCTAATTCTCTTAGTTGTTCTGTATGGACAGCAGATCTTACTGTACAGTATATCCTTGGTCCAAATTCACTGTAACCTCACTGTCTGATGCTTATGTGGATAGGGCCATGGAACTCTTCTTGTGAATTATATCATGCCTATGTTCTACCAATTGTTTTTTATTTTTATAGACCCAATGTACACTAGATACTTCTCAATGTCTGGAACCCTTCATCATCTAATGGAACCATATATACATCTAGTGCACTATCAATGTTCATTGGGTCTTCCAAGATCTTCCAAACTTCCAGAATACCTAAATAATTTCATCAAGGCTTGAGACCACATCTAGAACAATCTGTCCTCAATTGCTCTTTAAAGCCAAAGCACAAATATGACTCCAATCAGTGAGATCTTCAGTCAACAAAAAAAAAATCCCACATACAGTCGACCCCCCTATAACGTGCGTTCCTATAACGACAATTCCTATAACGTAGCGAAAAAATTGTAGCAACATACGTATAAAGGAGCTCCTAAAACATCGTCGCTGACTCGTTTCGCGACAAGATTGATAGAATCTGGACCAATAGTGGATGAGCAGCCGAACTACTTTCCTCCGCCCTGCGCCACGCTACGGAGCGGCTAAATTGAGTTTGCTATCGTCTGTACAGTATTATATATAAATTA